AAAAAATGGTGTAAAGAAAATAATCAAAAGACAAAAATGTAAAAGTTTGCTGCCTTTTGATTTAAAAATAAAAAAGTTAAAATTTTGAGAATACCATCAGTCGATGGAAAAAGTTCTTATCTCATGGTTATTTTGGAAACGCTGAACGTTTGAAACATTTCCCTCCAAAGATGATTTAGTTGCACCTTCTCCACTTCGCCACCGTCCTACAACATCTCTGAAGGACTCTGAATAATTCAGGAATAAACAAACGCACCGTGAATATTCAGCTTTACTTCGTGCACTTCTCTCCTCAGAAGCTTTAATGCTGCAGCAGCTGGTTCTCCTGAAGGCCCCGCTCCTCTGGTTCTCCTGAAGGCCCCGCTCCTCTGGTTCTCCTGAAGGCCCCGCTCCTCTGGTTCTCCTGAAGGCCCCGCTCCTCCTCCACCTCTCTGGGCTCGACTCTAAACGTTTTAATAACTCTTCACATTTTAACAGACTTTTAGTTTCATCAGCGACACCTCGTCAAGGAAAAGAAGCTCTGAAATTGAGTCTAATTGTAAATAAACGTGTTTATTTACTTCATAAATTAAACATGATGCTCCAAGCTTCTTCAAATGACAGAATATTGGGAGTTTTATTGATGACTAATGATTAAAAGCTCCACAAAATTTATATTTAAACAGAAATATGCTCTATTTTTAATGCAGTATTATTATAAAACCTCTTTTTCAGTGTATAACTTAGTAATTAAATAAACAACAGAATTAAAAAAAAATTAACTGATATTTTGGGGGTTTTTTTTTTTTTAAATATATTTGTAATATATTTTTTTTTTTTTTTATAATTAACCCCAAAACTCTGCTGCAGGAATTTAAATTTATTTGTTGCATTTATGAACTCTGCAAAAGTTTGAATTTAGTTTTTTCTTTATCAAATATTCTGCTTTTCGTTTTAAAACAAACAAACAAATAAATAAATAAGAATTCCACTGAGACGGTTTCTTCTTCATTGATCTTCTTTATTTTACATTTCAACATAACAAGAAATTCAACTCACATCTCCTTGAAAATAAGTAAATAAATATATTTTTTCATTATGTTTTTAATTATTATTTAAAAAAATAAACAAGTGGTGGAGTTTTACCGAACAGGAAGATGCAGGTCCTGGATCAGATATTTAGATCTACATATTTACAGGAGGTGTTGCTGGACCCTGGGGGTCCAAAAGAGGACAAAAACTGAACCCGGGGACAAAGTCTGAGGTCGGGACAGGACATGTGCAGGTTTGTTCTGCGCTTTGAGACAAAATGACAGTGAAACACGAAGTTAGTTGTAAAAACCTGAAAGTTCCGGTCTCTCAGCCACCAGGGCCACAGTCTGAACAAAGTCCGGGTCCAGGGCCCCTCGGGGTCACTTGGAGTCTCCCGCCAGCCTCGGCAGGCTCATGCCCGACACATGCGGGGGCGGCACCTGGCACATGCTGCACGGGCACGGCATCCCGGCGCCCACCCCCCAGTGCTGGAAGCTGCTGCCCAGGGGCCCCGCGCCGGCCGCGGGGGCCTTCAGGAGTCCGTGGTGGGGTCTGACCGACGAGACCGCGGAGATTCCGGGGGCGGACAGGGAGGAGGTGGAGACGGCGGGCGGCGGGAGGAGAGGGTGGTGCACGGCGGGGTGCGAGGACGCCGCCGGGTGTCCGGGCACCGGCCCCGCGTGCGCCATGGTCCCGCAGGCCGCCGGGTGGAAGCCGCCGTGGTGCGCGCCCCCGCCGTAGATCTCGCTCACGAGCCGCTTCATCTCCTCCAGGGAGTTGCTGAGCATCAGGATGTAGTTCCTCGCCAGCAGCAGGGTGGCGATTTTGGAGAGCTTGCGCACAGACGGTCCGTGCGCGTACGGCATGACCTCCCGCAGCCCGTCCATGGCCACGTTCAGGTCGTGCATGCGCTTCCGCTCGCGGCTGTTGATCTTCAGGCGGATCGCCTGCAGCTCGTTCTCCGACAGCAGCTTCCGGTCCTTCTTGGCCATGCGGAGGGCCAGGCTCTCCTCGTCGGCGGCGGAGAGGCCGCGCAGCCCGGGGAGCTCCGACGGAGAGTCGCTCTGCGTGGAGGACACGGCGGCGGAGAAGCCGTGCACGGACTTCTTCAGCGTGGACATGAAGATGTCGTCCACCTCCGGAGAGGACGGCCTGCTGGAGACACGGCTGGTATCTGAGTCCATGCTGGTCCTGATGCTGCGCGCGCGTCTGGGAGGAGACAACACAACTTTACTCAACTCCAAAACTTACATCAGAGTCACAGCAGGTTGAACAGTAAACAAACAAACAAACAAACAAACTTCATCTTTGTTTTTCCTGCTTTGATTCATTGTAATTAATCTCGTGTCACCGCGCGCTCATGCGCATTAATCTGAATCCTAATGGTTCTTTTTTGTTCTGATAAATAAACACTATGTACTAACATTTAGAATCTTAAAATAAGTAAATAAATAAATAAATAAATAAATAAAACCCACCGAGCTGGTATTTTTCCAGGTGAGATGACGGAAACCTCTCAGATCTAATCCACCTGTTCCTCCGGCTCCGACAGCCCGTTAGGCGCGCCTGCGCGCCTCCGCGGGCTTTTATAGCGGGTTGGGGGGGGGGTGCGTGTGTGTGTGCGTGTGTGTGTGGGGGTGTGTGTGTGGGGGGGGGGGGGGGGGGGGGGGGGTGGCGTCGCAGAGGCCGGGTCACCGGGACAACGCAGGTTCTGTCCCGACCGCCTGTCACCGACCAATCAGCTTCCTGCGGGGGGGGGCAGATGTAATTATCTAACAGCATTAAATGAAATCAGACACACTTCGTCTTCCCTGCTGAATTTTAACATTTATAAAAATACAAATTTTAAAAATGAATTTTGCTTGTGAGAAATAATAATTTGGAAAAAGTTGGACTTTTTAAAATTTAGATTTAAACTGAAACATTCAGATTTTAACTTGAAGTTTTAAATCCTTGTTTTATTTATATTACATCTTTCATAACCCTCCTCCTCCCCCCCTCATGTTTGTTACTTACACCCCCAGACTCATGAGGGGTCTGACGCTTCCAGCCCGCAGAGGTTCGGGTGCAGGTTCGGTTCCGATCCCGCTGCTGGTGGACCAGCTGCTGCAGGAGCTTTAACGGTTCTGATCCAGGTTTCAGGGTGTCGGGGGGGGGGGGGGGGGGGGGGGGGGTGCAGCAGAGACATTAACTCTATCAGACAACACGCTCATGCACTGAAGACGTGAGGAAGACATGACAGAAATCAGAATATAAAAATTTATATTTTCTTATTATTTATTATTCTGGGCTATTATTATTATTATTATTATTATCATTATTATTATTATTATTAATGTTGTTGATGTCTTGTTTTCGGTGAGTTCAAAGTTTACTGTCATTAATTTAATTTGCAATCATTTTATTGTTGGTATAATATTCACAAGTAAAAACAAAGTTCAAAGTTAAAAACGAACATTCAGTCTGTTTTTGAAGAGGGGAAAATAAAACATCTAGACTTTTTATTTATTTTTGTGTGTATTTATTTATTTATTTATTAATTAGTTAGTTTTGTAACGGTTCTAAAGTCTTTGTTGGGGTACATTCTTCTTTTAATTTGTTGCCATGGTAACCCGCTCGGACCTGATTCTTTAATATTAAACACGGTTTTTGTTTGTTTATTTGTCTGATTGATTTTAAAAGACCGGAAATAACTGGTCACGTGTCACTTCGGTCCCCCAGGTGTCAAACAGCTCCATCCAGAATCCAACCCCTGTTTGTTTGTTTGTTTGTTTGTTTGTTGTCTGGACTGCTCTTTGCCTGCATCCTCTCTCATTAAATGAGATAATGACAAGGTGGCCGTTTAAATCAGAGGGTGTGTGTGTGCGTGTGTGTGTGCGCGTGTGTGTGCGTAAGGGAGAGAGAAAGGCTGTCATTCATGCTTTCAGCTTCTTGGTCCAGTTGTGCCACCAGGGATTATTCTGAACTCTCACATCAGATTATATTCTCATGTGGAGGACTGTTCTTGGAAAATGTTCAAATTTTGTTTCGTCCAGGTCATAATTGTAAAAGAGAACTGACTCTCACAAAATTCATCGGAGAGAACATGTAAAGTCCAACCTGAAAGGTCCCAGGCTGGGATTCGAACCAGCAGCCTTGTTGCAGAGAGGCGGCAGCGCTACCAACTGATCCACCGTGTCACACACACACACACACACACACACACACAAAAAAGACAACATGTGTGTGTGTGTGTGTGTGACAGAAAAAAAGGCTACATTAAATTCAACAGTACAGTAAATTAAATTAAAACTCTTGAAAATTAAGTTTAATAAATTCAACACAGCGCTCAGTTAAACAATGAATTTCCAGTTTAATGAAGTTACTTTTCATCTGAAGCATTTACAGCTTATGTCACAATTTTAAAGTAAAATGACATCAAGCTTATAATTTTAGTGACAAATTTGAGAAATAAACATTTAAGTTCAGAGTGCTTTTAGTGACTTTATGTCAGGATTTCAACATTTAGTGTATTTTTATGACTTTCACACATTACATAAAACCTTGGATTAGTTTTTATTTCCTTTCAGTTTTGGCTCCGTCCCGTCAGTCTGGGTGGCAGTAGACCCAGACCTGGTGAAAACCAGAAGTGAGGAGCAGCATATGTGAGCCATACTTAATCCTGCTAATCTTCCTCCACAATGAAAAACAGAAAGGGAACAAAAAACAGAGGAGGGTGTAAAAACACGAGAGAAGGTTTCTCTTTCTGTCTTTCTGCCTGAAAAGCTGACCCGTTTGAGCCAAATGAACTGAAAGACATGAATAAACATCCTGGCTCTTCCCCCCGCCCTCCTCACTCCTTTTCTCTGGAAAATCTTGGAACGAAATGAAGCAAAATTCTCGCCTTTGTTGAATCTGAGGGTGAAAAACGTGAGACGGCGCCTTCCAGGACGACAACTGTTCACCTCAGGTTCACACGCAGCTCTCCGACTGTACGTCTGCAGAGGAGTTAAGTGTCACAAGCACAAAGATGAGGGGAAAAACTCCAACGACTGGGAGAAAACACGAAGCAGGATTCATAATTTACTGTAAAAACTAGCTGAAGAAGGGTGCTCTTTTAAATAAAGCATTTTAATAAAGAAGAAACGACTTGTGCAGTTTAAATTCATTAAACTTTTATTTCTACTGGTTAGTCACCAGGACTCATTTTCAAGAGAGATCTGATTTAGACAGATAACATATAAGGTACTGACAATAATAATTAAACAAAAAGCAATTAAAATCAAATAAAATGTTATAAACACAGGCAAATCAAGATGCCATAATACTAAAAACAAGAACGTGTTTGCATAGATTATTCTATTGACCTTTTCAGTTGTTTAAAATACCTTAAAGAGATTAAGGTGGACAGATTTAGTTCTTATTTCAAGGTGTAGGAAAAGGTATTTTTGTTGAACCCAGTCCACACTGAGGGGATGCTGCAGGTAATAAGAGAGTGCACGCTGTAACTGCACTGACGACGTGACATGTAGGAGGAGATATAAGAAGGCAGCAAACCGAGGGGGGGTTTATAGATGCAAATGAACCAGTGAGAGTCTGTGTGAAGTTAATGGTGACCAACTGACTAATGACACTGATGGGTACAGTAGTTACACCAGTTATGAATCTTAGCGCTCCATGGTAGACAGCATCCAACATCTGCAAGCAGCTGGCAGGGGCATTCATGTAAATAATGTCACCATAATCGATGGCCGGCAGGAAGGTAGCAGTTACCGTGAGTTTTCTGTCGTTCAGAGTTAAGCAAGATTCTGTTTCTGAAAAAGAAACCCAGTTTTAATTTCAGTTTCTATATCAAGTTTTCAACGTGCAGCTTCAAAGAGAGATGTGTATTGATTAAAACGACCAAGTATTTGTAAGAAACCACAAACTCATTAGGAACACCATGCATGGATGAGATAGGAGGAAGAACTGCTGGCCCCAACTTCCTGTTTGAAAACAACATCCTTTTGGTTTTGTCAGCGTTTAGCACCAGTTTGAGACGGAACAAATCTGACTGGATGATGTCGAATGCAGACTGTAGAAGCTGGAAAACCTTAGCAACTGTTTTGGCTCGACAGTAAACAACTGTATCATCAGCATATGCAAGGATGCATCAGGAACGTTTTAACCTACAGCATTTATACAAATTGTAAAAAGAGTGTGTCCTAAAATTGAGCCTTGTGGTACACCTTTAGTGACCGTTAAAAAGCTAGATGAAGTACCGTTATGTCAAACACATTGTCTCTGATCTGAGAGATCGTTAGAAAACTAAACAACAGTGTGATCTGAGAAACCAATATCTGAGAGCTTGTGGCAGAAGACGTCATGATCTACACTGTCAAAGGTTTTGAAATCTTGGAACTCTGCACGTCTTCAGCCACAAAGCTTCAGCAGCAAAAGTCCGGTTGATAAATCTTTGTTGATTAGTCATGTTGCAGATGATCGATTCCACAGAAACATATGATACTAATGTTGGCGTCAGATTGTATCGATACTAACGTGATGGATCGATACGTGAGTTTGTTTCTACCTTCGGTACGTTGCTCCCACTCCAGAAGTACAATCAGCACCGGAGGAGCCGTGAAGAGGCAAGATTAAATGTAAACACTGGACCAACAGCTTCAGAGCTGATACACCAACATGTTGCAGCTAGAAATCAGCAATGAGCATTAAGACCTGCGGTGTGTACGTACCAGTGATGGGGAAACTGGAGACAAGTGGCTGAATGGAGACAGGGAACAGGTGTAGGTGGGTGTGGCAGGAATGAGAAGCAGACTCACTGAGGAGATTATGTAAAAACTCTGAAGAAAAATACAGAAAGACATCATCCATCCATTATCTTTACCCCTTCTTCTTTTAGCGGGGGTCACTGGTGCCCACATCCAGCAGTCACTGTTGAAGAGGCGGGGCCGGGGACACCTGGACAGGTCTGCAGTGACAGACAAGCAGCCATTCACCCTCTCACCTATAGAGACAATCACCAATCAGCCTAACATGCATGTTTTTGATCTGTGGGAGGAAACCTACGCAGCACAGAGAGAACATGCAAACTCCACCCAGAAAGGTCTAGGTCCGGAATTTGAACCTGCAACCTTCTCACTGTGAGGTGACAGCTCTGACAACTGAGCCACCGTGTCGCCCCATCACAAAGAATAAAGGAGAGAAT